TCTGAATGGGCCAGGTTCTGGTGTTGGTCCCTGGTAGGTCTGAACTCCATAGCTAATGTCCCAGTCTAACATAACATACATTAGCCTGATAAGCTTCAGGGAGCCTCCGGGGCTCACCCAGAAAATGGCATTTCATTACATTCAACACTGTTTTTATTGCTGTAATATTATTTAATAGTGTGTAGTGTGATATATTTATATAATAAAATGAGTGAATCATCGCTGTACTCAAAAATATGGTGTGTATATTGTTGATTCAATTATGTTCATCAAACAGTGAACAAATACTTTGTTGGTTATTACACTATATACACAGGTTATATATAAGTATCTGCATGTTTTGTTCACCATAACAAACCACTAAGTTGCTATTATGAGTCAAAAAGTAACGAGGAGTGACCGCCACACACCAGCCAGCCACTCACTCCTTGAACAGCCAGGAGAGCTAAATGCCGAGAACTCAGCAGACGAGTCACCTGAAGCGACCAGTGCCAAAGAGCCAAGGACTGTATCGAACCTTCCCCCCCCCACCCCCGGTTCAGGCAATGAACCACTGGGAGCAGTCTGAATGAAGCCTGATTGTCAATCTGCGGGCTACCTGAGCCCTCCGCACCACAAACCACATCGCTGCAAACTCCCACATCATGCTGTGGGCCCAACGGAAGGATGATCCCCACTGCCCCTGGCCGGCCTGGTGAGCACTGGTCACAAAGCCCCAGCCAAGAGACGACGCGTCCGTGAACACATTAAGCGAGGGCTCGGGCAGGCACCAAGGCACTGAACCCCGAAAAACCCGAAGAAGAAGCCTGTGACGCAGCATCTGACGCAAGGCCCACATGGTCGAAACCCAATGATCGCGAGGGAGGAGAAAGGGACGTCCCCGAAGGAACCAGAACAGCCGACGAAGCCAATCCTGACCCTATGGGAAGACCATCATGGCAAAGTTCAAGCTCCCGCACAGACCCTCGAGCAACCGCCGTGTGACCTGGGAGCCCCCCAGAAACAGGCTCATGCGGGACTGCAGCCGCAGGAGAGACTCCGGAGGAAGAGACAAGGAAGTGGTCTGAGAGGTCCACACAAGACCCAGCCAAGTCCGAACCTGGGAGGGAACCAAATGAGACTTCCTCCAATTCACCAAGAACCCGAACCCGGCGAGCTTGGGAAGAACAGAATCCCTGGCTAGCAGACAAGATGACCGGTTGGGAGCCCAAACCAGCCAGTCGTCGAGATACAACACCCAAACACCTAAGAGACGCAGATGGGCTGCCACGACCTGGGTAAGGCATGTGAACACATGAGGTGCCAGATTCAACCCGAACGGGAGACAACAAAAGCAGTAACTGTGATACCCCAAAACAAAACTGAGCCAGTCCCTGAACCCCACGGGAATCAAGGCATGCCAATAAGCATCCCAAAGGTCCAGGGACACCTTCCTAGAGCCCGGCTCCTCAAACCTGCGACAGCATAGTCATCCGAAAGGAGGAGCAATAAACCCAAGGGTTCAGATGGGACAAGTCCAGAATGAACCACAGGTACGCATAGTCCCGTTTCGGTACTGGGAACAGACAAGAAACCCATTTGAGGGACGTCATCATTTTGACCATGCCCACTCCTAGACGACCTGACCGAGCGCATGGGAAGAAGCCTGCCCCCACCAGCCTCGAACCCCCGAAGAAGAAGGAGCCACCCAACGTCACCGAGGCCGAAGGAAACGACTCGAAATGCCCATAAATCGTGGGACCAAATCTGAGCGAACAGCGCCAGCCTCTCCCCCGGCATCCCATACGAGACCCAGAACCTCGCACGGAGGGAACACCGTGTCGACCAGACGAAGGCGGGACTGAAGGCGGGGCCAGACCCAAACCTGGCACCAGTGGCCTACCACAATGAGCGAAATCGCGAGACCTGGCACGATTCCCTCCCCCCCCATCCAGACCCCTGAAGAACCAACAAGTCAGACATAGGACGACAAGTAGCTGACGCAGCATATACTGCACCACGGTCGAATACTCAAAAAGCAGAGGACGAAAAGGAGAAGACATCCTAAGATCCAGGGCCCAGGCAGATTCCAGAGAGGAGGCAAGCACCGCCTGCCGACACACGAGCCGGGAAGCATAAAACAGGGAAACCGCCTCCCACAAGATTGGCGCAAAAAGCTTCAACAAGGCAGCCGACGCGCGAGCAGCCAAGCTCAAGGCACCGGACCCAGGAATGGCCCCAAGCATCCCTGCATTCTCCACAAGCCAGTCCGAAGACAGCTCCAGAATAGAAAAGAAACACAAGGCCGAAGCCAAAAAGCCACGGGCGTGTAAGTTCTCAACAACCTGTGTCACTGAAAGGGAGGGAACCTACACATGGAGCTGCAGAACACCAACATCCCAGGAAAGGGCCGGGGCAAACAAACACTCATTGAGGTGCCCCAGGAAAACCTGAACCACTGTCAAAGCCTTGCGCCACTCAAGCGAGAGGGTATGACAGAAAGAATGCCAAGCCTCCAAGGCAAACACAGGACAGTTCGCCAGCCAGCACGATTCCGGAACCTCATAACGGACCCAGAAAGGGAACAAACCCTGAAACCTGAATGAAGACAAATCCATAAGCGAGGCATAATCTGGGTTGCACAGGAGGTAAGCTGCAAGGGCCACCCGCACCGCAGACGGGAGGATGCGGTAACCCGAAAACCTCCGAAAGGACGGAACCAAAGCACCCGGGGAGACATGGAACCGAACCCGGGGAGTGGCAGACACTAAATTCAATTCATACACAGAGGGGGATAAGAGACTCCTTGTATCAGCAAGCCCCGCTGAGAGGGTAGAAAAACCCAGGCGGGGTCCAGTGGGGCCCAAGGCCCTCAAGTCAGCCCCTCCCCAGCCCCAAGATCCACCTCCATGGGACCTGGGGCTAAATCAGCCCCTCTCCAGCCCCAAGATCCACCTCCATGGGACCTGGGGCTGAGTCATCCCCTAACGCACCGGCCTCAAAAGAAAAAGCTGGTGCAGACGCGTGAGCCGAACGGAAGAGAGCCCACTGGTCAGACCCGGAGGCAGCGGCTATGGGATTGGACTGTAATGCCTCCATCGCCACATCGTCGCCATCCCCCAAAACTGCCCAAGTCTCAGAACCAACAGGACTCTGCCCCAATTCCAATACCCTCAGACGCTTCGGGGCCAGAAGCAGGAGAGGGGGGGGTCAGGATGCACCACAGTAGGGGAAGGACAAGGGGGTGCGGACTGAACCAAGGTCGAAGCGACCCCCACCCCCAAGTCTGGGTTACCTTGAGGTTATCTTGAGATGATTTCGGGGCTTTAGTGTCCCCGCAGCCCGGTCCTCGACCAGGCTTCCACCCCCCAGAAAGCAGCCCGTGACAGCTGACTAACACCCAGTTACCTATTTTACTGCTAGGTAACAGGAGCATAGGGTGAAAGAAACTCTGCCCATTGTTTCTCGCCGGTGCCTGGGATCAAACCCAGGACCACAGGATCACAAGTCCAGCGTGCTGTCCGCTCGGCCGACCGGCTCCCTAAAAGCAAAACGGGGCAGTCTTGGGGCATCCGGGTGAGCAACCAACTGAGCGCGTTGCAACAACCTAAAGCTCATATGCAATGCCTGCGCTGCCTGTACCCATAAAAGATCATCATTAGACTGGGTAAACTGAGTCACAAGCAAGCAACAGCACTCTCAGGACTCCGGGTCAAAAGTGTCACCGACCCAACAGGCAGCGTAACAGAGGCAAAAACAGTGAGAGTCACCCTGAGACAAGGGGACAGAGCAACCCTCAAACTCGCACAAAGCGAGTGGGGACTCCGGAGACACATCCATCGAACCCATGCGCCCCCGTAGGGTTTCCCAGGGCCCTGAGACATTACTCATGCTCAGGGAATCCCAGGCAGGGTACTGCTAACTGGGGCCTAAAATGACCAAACAACTGTCTAAAGCTGAACCCCAGGGACGTGTACACTCACGGGGACCTAGCAGGGGGCACCACCAGAAGAACCGTATCAGGTCAAACACCAAAGGGCAAAAATAAAAACAAAACCTTGCAAGAGGACAATGTACCCTAAGGAACAGAACTGGCCACTGTGAAGGGTGAAAACAAGCTGTACAGAACCCTGTGCCCCATACCAGTGCAAACTGCCTCTTACCCCTAAGGTAAACAAGGGTGACAAAACACCCAAGCACCCAAAGAGCGGCCGAAAAACCGAGCAGGTAAACAGCGCAACTTAGGCAGAACCCAAGGAACTTGTGGAAGGCAACCCCCAACTCCCAAGGGCAGTACATACAGGGCACCTAGGGAAGATAACCCTAGGCACATGCAGCCAGAGTACTATAGAATAACTCCTGGCTCTCGCACCCCTGGAAAACAGCCACCACACTCGAAGCACAGTGCTGAAAGACCACTGTAGCCAGAGCACATGCCCTCTGCCTCTAGCATCAGCCTTAGAACTGACGGGTAAATTGCCGGTGTGGGGGGTTTGGGGCTTCCCCTTCCCCCTCCCCCCTCCCGGGAAGGGGGTAGCTGCACAGACAGCGGCGCGGCGACACGTGATGTCATGCTCGTTTGCTCGTTTCTTTCCAGGGAGTTCTATCCATTTGTTCAGCTTTTGGTAGCAATATTTTCACCAGAATAGGGGTTTGTTTTGGGATGCTTACCTTTCTGGGTGCTAGACCCGGTCGATGGCAGGCATAGAATGCTTCCAACCACACGGGGGTTTCTATAGGCTATTGCTCCCCATGCGCCTCTGAGGGGGGGGGGGCCAGGTTCTGGCTCGTGGTCCCCGGTAGGTCCACAGAAGTCCATACACATGACTGATGCCAAAGTTTGACATTAGCATATCAGCCTAGTAAACTCCAGGGAGTCGACGGGGTTCTCCCAGATAATTAATGGAAAAATAATATAAATACAAAGTTAGTAACAGTTATTCCAGAATTTTCAGATTGTACTGTATGATCATTATGGAACATGTAGAAATTTAAATTTTTCTTATATATTGTTTTTACAGATGTGTGTAACTTGCCATTAAGTGAAGGCCCTTGTGATGGATCATTCCGTAAATGGTATCATGATCGCTATCATCGGCGATGCAAGTCTTTCTTATACAGTGGTTGTGAAGGCAATGGAAATCGCTTCTCAACAGAACAGGAGTGTGAAGCTGAATGTGTCTACCATGATATAATTCTGCCAGATGGCAATAATACTGAAGAAGCTAATACAAGTAAGAGTTTGTGATCACGTTGTATCCTCGCTACTTTTATTAATTGTTTAAATCCATTGTACATTATCTCATTGTCAGATGCAACTGTCAGATGCATCTTTTAAGTGAAATATAATCTTAAATAAAAATAATAGCTTAGCATTTATAAAAAAGTATTGATCATTATAATCAATTAAATGATTCCTCACCCTATTGACTACAATAGGGTGAAGAATTTTGGCAAAATTGAGGCATTGACAGAGTAAGCATTGGAGGTGGTCTACTCCACCTGCGTTGTCAAGCGGGAGTTGCCACAAAGATAGTATTACCTAATTATTTCAATATCTCTGATTTATTTTTTCTAATTTTTTTTGCAGTAATATTATTCATTAGTGTGTATTGTGATATATATATATATATATATATATTTTTTTTTTATTTTTAATTTATATATATATATATATATATATATATATATATATATATATATATATATACAGTGGAACCTCTATTAACGAGTGGCTCTATTAACGAGTTTTTCCAGTAACGAGCAAGCCACTCGCAGCAAATTTGTCTCTATTGACGAGCTCGCCTCTATTAACGAGTGAAACCACATGGCGCTTCCTAGCGTCTCGCGGGTTCTCGCAAATTCTCGGACGCCTCCGACGCCAGTGTTGTTGTTGTATCTCACACGACAAGCATCCCTTTGGATTTATTTGAGCTTTTCTTTGGGTTTTTAGTGGTTTTGCGACTACAATTTGTAACACACGATGTCTCCAAAGAAGCTGCTTGCTTTCCTTCAAGAAGGAAATTATAGCAAAGCATGAGTGTGGTGTCTGTGTGATTGATCTCACAAAGAAGTATGGCAGGTCCTCATCAACAATTTACACCATTAGTAAGGGAGGATGCTGCCTCTTCCACTGAGATCAGGGAAGTGTTTGGAATGTTTGAAAAGGTGAACACATTCTTGGAAAAGCTGCCCTGATAAAGCAGTGACAACCCAGTGTGTGAAAATGTTTAATTAATTTATCACTTTGTGATAACACTTTATGAAAGTGTTATCACTTTCGCAGGTATATGTCGCTTGAACGTAACACACTTTTTTTCTCTTGAATGCACCCAAACACCGCGCTCAAGCATCATTTGAGCAAATATTTCTATAAAATCCAATACTTATCCGATCGACTTGGGGATTGTATACATGTTTGCCATGAAATTTCCGTTTTCTTTAATAACCACATTGCCTATTTGAGAAAACGGCATTGTATTGTATCTTCGTGGTAAGACTATTATATTGTTGACACAACGAGTGTAATCAACGTAGTTTTTTTATTTGGTGCTGGTCTAACGCATCCTTGTGTGACATTTGAAATGAAATTTGGGTGAAATTCCCAAGAAGAGAGAGTCCGCCTGACTCAGAGGTGAATTCTCCTTCCACACCATAACCCCTCTCCTCCTTCCCACCTCTCCATCATCTCCCTCAAGCCAGCAACTACTCTTCATAAGGTAAAGTAAATATTAAAACACTACAACAAAACATTTATATTTACATGTGCTGTATTATATTTACATAAAAAAAAGTCATACAAGTATGGATGTTTTTGGGAGTGGAACGGATTAAATTTATTTCCTTTATTTTAAATGGGGAAATTTGTTTCCAAAGACGAGTTTTCCAGGTAACGAGCTCGGTGCCAGAACGGATTAAACTCGTTAATAGAGGTTCTACTGTATATATATATATATATATATATATATATATATATTTTTTGGGGGTAAAGTTTGTGAGGGATACCACATCTGGTACCCTCACAGTGGGCCCCCTTCATTCTTGCCTTTTCGGCTGCTCCTGCCTTTGCTTTAGAGGCGGGGGAGGGGGGGGGCAAGGATGAGGGTTGACTCGGGAGCCTTGGGCCCCGTTGGACCTCGCTTGAGTTTTTGTACCCTAATAGTGGGGCTTGGTGTCACAGGGTGTGGGATTCTCTTTTGCTCCCTCCTTGTACGAGTTGGATTTGGCATCTACCCCTCCTCGGGTTCAATTCTGTGGCCTCGGCGGTTCTTCAGTTCCATCTTTCTGGAGGTTTCTGGCTTCCCGAGTCCAGTCACAGTGGGTGTGGGAAGTCCTTGTGGCTTTCCTCCTGCACGACCCGGATTTTGCTTTTGTGAAGGACCTGCGTTCCTTTGTGTATGGATCTTCGTGTCCTTACTGGGTTCGTTACGAAGTTCCGGAGTCATCCTGGTTAGCAGACTGCCCGTTCTTCTCTTTGGAAGCGTTGCCTTCGGCAGTGCGTGCGCGCCTCTCCTGTGGGATGCGGTTTCACGTTTTTTTGTTTCTCGGCCCGCGTGTCGTCAGGTGGTGCTCGGTTCATCCTTATAATCCGCTTGGTCCCTGGCTCTTAGATTGTCTTCACCCTTTTGTCAGTTGCTGTTTGCAGAGTCTGCAATGATGCAGTATCTGCAGGCAGCTTCAGCTAGTTGCCGTCATATGTCGGAATTGTTGGTCCTCCGGTGGGGTTCGTGGGGGGCTGTCCCTGCGGGGTCGTGCCAGGGCTCGAGGTTCTTTCTATCGTGGTAGGCCAGTGGTGTCAGGTTTCGGGACGTTTCGTGCGACCTGTGATAGCGTTGGGTGGCTCCTCTTCCTTCGGGGGTTCGGGGCTGGCAGGGCAAGCCTCTTCTCCTGCGTTCTGTCAAGTCGTTTCGGAGTGGGTTCGCTTGAGCATGGTCGAAACGTCCTCGTCCCTCAGGTGGATCTCCCGCCTGTTTCTGGTCCCAAAATGGGACTGCTTTGGTTCATTCTGGACTTGTCTTGTCTGAACCCGTGGGTTTATTGCCCCCTTTATTTCGGATGACTACTGTCCCAAGTCCTTCTTCTGTTGGAGCCGGGTGCTTGGATGGTGTCCTTGGACCTCCAGAATGCGTATTGGCCTGTCCCGATTGATCTGCGGTTCAGGGACTGACTCAATTTTGTGATGGGACCACGAGGTTGTCGCTTTCGTTGCTTTCCATTCGGCTTTATTCTGGCACCTTGCGTTTTCACTTGCCTTACTTGGGTCGTGATGGCCCACCTGCATCTGTTAGGTGTTCGGGTTCTGGCCTACCTTGACGACTGGCTGGTTTGGACTCCCAGCCTGTCCGTGTGTTTGCTTGCCAGGGATTTGGTTCTTTACCAGCTCGCTAGGTTCCTGTTCTTGGTGAACTGGTGGAAGTCCCATCTGGTTCCCTCACAGGTTCGGTATTGGCTGGGTCTTATGTGGGACGCTCGCACTGCGTCCTTGTCTCTTCCTGCAGTGGCTCTGCTTCATCTGCGTTCCTGCCTCTGACTGTTTATGTGGGGCTCCCGGGTAATGCGGCAGTTACTCGTGGGTTTGTGCTGGAGCCTGAACTTTGCCATTATGCTCTACCCGCCAGGTCAGGTGTGGCTTTGTCGGCTGTTCTGGTTCCTTCAGGGATGTCCCTCCCGCCTCCCTCGTGACTGCAGGGTTCAGCCTTCGGTGGCCTTGCGTCGGTTGCTGCGTCACCGGCTTCCTCTTCGGGTTTCTCGGGGTTCAGTGCCTTGGCGCCTGCCTAAGCCCCTCACTTGATGTGTTCACGGGCGCGTCATCTCTTGGCTGGGGCTTTGTGACCAGTGCTCACCAGGCCAGCCAGGGGCGGTGGGTTCCGTCCCTTGTCAGGCTCACAGCACGGTGCGGGAGTTTGTGGCTGTGTGGATGTCGGTCCGGAGGATTCGGGTCTCTCGCGGATCGACGGTCCGGCTCCATTCAGACTGTTCCCCGGTAGTTCATTGCTTGAACTGCGGAGACTCGATGCAGTCCTTGGATTTTTATGGCTGGTCGATTTGGGTGACTCGTCTGCTGAGTTTTTGGGGTTTGGCTCTCCTGGCGGTTCATGTTCTGGGGTATCCAATGTCCTGGCAGACGGCTTGTCCCAGTTCATTCCCCTGTCCATGGACATTGACTCGTTCCGTTGGCTCTGCAGCGTTCACACCTCCGGAAGTGGATCTCTTTGTGTCAGTGTGGTCAAGGCATCTCCCGGTTTACGTGGCACCCTTCCCCGACTGCGAGTCCATCAGAGTCGATGCCTTCAGGCAAGATTGGACAAGATGGAGGTTCCTGTACCTCTTTCTCCCTATTCAGCTGTTGCTCCAGGTCCTGGCTCGCTTGGAGATTTACCAGGGACAAGTAGTTCTCTTGGCCCCATGGTGGCCGGCTCCAGCTTTGATTCAGGTGCTGCTGGCTCGGTGTCCGAACCTGGAGGTTTTCCCATGGGTCCGCCTCTTTCAGCAGATCAGTCCGGTCCATTGCGAGACTGGTTCGATCTTCTCCTCAAGTCTTCACGTTTGGTCTTTTTGACTCAAGTCTATCACCATCCAAATGGTGATCAGGTGACTTCTTTGATGGTGTCCCACCTGTGGGCTTTGTTTGGGCGGCATTATGAGGTTTCCTCGCGGTCCTTCCATTTCTTTTTTTATTCTTTGTCATTGTACTTCGCTTTCGGTTCAAGTGGTGTTGTCCTTTCTCTCATGGTTGTTCCAGGACCGTCATCTTATGCCGAATATTGTCACCTCGTATCGTGTGGCGCTGGTGGAGCCCCTTCAGCTTGCTTTCAGTATAGATGTTGCTTCTGCACCATTTCGCAAGCTGTCTCGTGCGTTGTTTCACCTCCGGTTTGCTCATGCGCCGCCTGAGCCATTGTGGTCTTTAGACAGAGTGCTCTCTTATCTCTCTTCTCCTTGGTTTGTTGTGGCCCCTTCAGTTCAGGATTGTTTTTCGAAGGATCTTTTCCTATTGGCATTGGCCTCTGGGGGTCGGGTCAGGGAGCTTCATGCTCTCCTCCGGCGCAAGGCTTTCTGCTCTTTCGGTCATGTAGATAGGTTTGTTCGTCTGCAGCCGTTTCCTTCTTTTCTGGCAAAGAATGAGACTGCTGCTTTCCGGAGGGGTCCATGGGTTGTTGATGCTTGGCTGGTCAGGCCGGGGGTGCATCGTGTTTTGTGTCCAGTTGCGGCCTTCCACCGTTATTTGCACGCC